ACTCAGAACACACGAAGAAAACTAAACTAAGATGAACAGCCAATAAAATCAACAACTAATTCATTCTAGAAGAAAAAATGACAATCTGAAAATAATCTCAAATGTTAAAAGGAAGCCACAATAGCCACTAAGGGGAGAAAAATTAAAAACAGGCAGAAATCAAACCAGAATAGGTGGCTGCTAGAGAGACAGCCTGAATATTTTTTTAAAATTCACTGAGAAATAAAAACTGAAGCCACATAAACTCTAGCTGGACAAAGTCAAAGTGTGAATTAGTAAATTAGAAAACTGAGGATCCAGCTAGAACATAATACAGAGACTAAGAAGGAATATTGGAAAACAAATATTCAAAGATATGAAGGCTAAGGAATTTTCTAGAAACAAAGAAAGGTATGAGTCTTCCCATCAACAATGTATTTCAAAGAGGAGCTATAGATATAACAACATAGTTAAGCATAATTTAGAAATGTGTTTAGAATACCAAGTATGGCAAAACAAACATTAACATGTCACACTTATAATATGCAAGGCCCTGTTCTAAGTGCTTTAAAACTTAATCCTCATTACAACCCTATGACACAGATACAATTTTATCTCTATTTTGAACGTGCCCAAGGTCACACAGTAAGTAGTGGTGAAATAAAGAAATGCAATCTTTTAAAAAACTACCAGAAAAAAAAAAAATATTACATACAGAAGCATAACAATTAGGCACAGACCAGACTTCTCAGAGATTCAAGTTTGCCAAGTTTCACAAAACAATGAAATAACATACTGAGGGTGCTGATGAGAGGAACCCTATCAACCAAGAATTCTCTATCCAGCTGAAAAACAAAGTAATGCATAAAACATACTTTCACACAAAAACTAAGGACATTTACAAGCCAACCTTACTAAAAGGATTACTAAAGGATGTACTTCAGCAAGAAGAAAAGTGGACTCAGAGAAGATGCAAGGAACAATAAGTACAGAAACTGGTAAAAATACTGGCTAATTAAACAATTTATTGAGTATAAAAAGGAAAATGAAACTCTTTTATGCTAAAAAAAGAAGTGGAAATTAAATTGTAAGCAATTATACAGAGGATGGAGAAATGTTCAGTTTAATCAAATGTTAGCTCATAAAAAAAATCACCAAATACAGAAACAAACTACCATAAGTACAACTTCCTAAGGACTTCTGATATTGGAATTAGCAAATATTTAAGATATTATATCTATGGACAAAATGCCCGACAAGGTATTTTTTGAAAACTAATGAAAAATAAGAAACTATAAAAAAATTATCATGCAGACCGAGAAAGAAATATTACTTTCAGAAATAAAAACAATTGGCTGGGAGAGGGTGAGTGTTGAAAAAGTACCTATTGGGTACAACCTTCACTATCTGGGTGATGGGTACACTAGAAGCCCAACCTCCACCATTATACATGCAATATCCATGTAACAAGCATATGCACACCTCTGAATCTAAAAAAATAAATTTTAAAATGTTGATATTAAAAACTCAAAGGGTGAGTTACATAGATTAGATACAAATGAAGTAAACTAGGCAACTGAGTTGAAGAAATAAAATAATAAAGTTGCCATTTGGGAAGTGCTCAATAAAAAAGTAAATACATAAAAGTATGTTCACTTCAAAAAACCTACAAAGGCCAAGGGAAAGGGGAAGACAAAAAAGAAAATCAAATTCTCCAACAACAGTAACATAAATGGTCCATAAAAGTAGGCTCTAAGAATTTAAGACCTGCACATTAGGGTGCCCTTGAAGCCCAGGAACTTTTTTTTTTTCTGAGATGGAGTCTCCCTGTCACCCAGGCTGGGGTGGAATGGCACCATCTTGGCTTACTGCAACCTCCACCTCCCAGGTTCAAGCAATTCTCCTGCCTCGGCCTCCTGAGTAGCTGGGACTACAGGTGTGCACCACCACATTCGGCTAATAATTAAGATTTTTATTAGAGATCAGGTTTCGCCACGTTGGCCAGGCTGGTCTTGAACTCCTGATCTGCCCACCTAAGCCTCCCTGGGATTACAGGCATGAGTCACCACATCCAGCCAAAACCCAGGAACTATTAACTTATCTCTCTATTCATGTCAATTCCCTGCAACATGGCTAAGCTAGTAGTAAAGTTTAACATTTATTGCACTACGAGAATCAGAAAACATCAGCAAAATGATAGTGCCTAAGTAGCAGAACTTACTTTTGTTTAACAAATACTCTTCTGTTATCTCATATTTTATATATTTATGATTTATATTTAAATCACAGCAATCTTTACATCCTCACATCTTTAAAGGTAGAAGGGTTTTGTTTTATTTGTTTGAGGCACAGTGTTGCTCTGTCACCCAGGTTATAGTGCAGTGGCACGATCACAACTCAGAATTATAGCCTGGAGCTCCTGGGCTCAGGTGATCCTCTCACCTTAGCCTCCCAAGTAGCTGGGAGTATAGGTGTGCCACTACGTCCAGCTAATTTTAAAATATTTTTTTGTAGAGACAAGGTATCACTATGTTGCCCTGGCTGGTCTCAAACTCCTGGGCTTGAGCAATCCTCCCGCCTCGGCTTCCCAAAATGCTGGGATTACAGGCTTGAGCCACCATGCCTGGCCAAAAGTTTTCTATTACTTTGCGGTTCTAGAAAGTCCCTACAATTTCCCTCAGCACTAAAAATATTTTCACAGACTTCTATGTTTAAATACTCCTCTAATAATACTCAGTCCTGTAGATTAGCCAGTTAAATCAACAAATACTCTTGTTTCTCCTATAATACAGATCATCTATAAAACAGGAAGATTTACATAGAGGAAATCTTTTATAAGAAACAAAAACAAATTACATATACACATTTTGTAAACTTGGTTTCTGCTACTATAAACATTCAGATAACACGTTTTATCTATTAAATAATGAATATCAATTACTCTGAAGAAAATATAACCTATCTTTATCACCTGTTCCTTAAAAAATTAAGTATAAGATATTGTAGGCAGTATTTCTGATAAGAAACTGAATATAGAATTTAAAATATATCATCATCCTAGCAGTCAAATAGAGGTATCAATAGTCTAACAATGTGTATTCCCCTCCCCCTAAATTTCCAGTCTGCTTATTAAAGGACTTTACTGACTTTACACCTATATGTGATTTATCACTCTTCTTGGGGCACTTTAACTGAATGCCCCTAAAATCTCAGTAACAATCCTGATCTAGTCAGAAAGCCTTTGACCTATAAAATCAAGGTATGATTTTCTTTGGAAGCTGCGATTTCTCATTGAGCTCCATTTTCTGGCTAAAAAGTGAAAGACGCAGCCCACTGAATCTGACAGCACCTAAAATAGGATTCTTCCCCTCCTACTTGGAGCCGAGGGGGATAGCGCCATTTAATCCTCTGGAAGATTTATCTGAAAAATAATCCCAAGGTGATATGGGTTTCCTACTCTGTACTGGTTCCAATCTGAAAGATGTTAGAACAAACCAAAGAGAACACATGATTATCGTTCAGCTTCAAAATTCCTACACACTGTTCCAGAAAGAAAGTATCTTAAGGGTATTAAAGCTCATCAGAAAACGAGGCTATCCTTTGTGCTTCACTGACATATGCCTAAAATTCAAAATTCAGTACTAAAAGTTTTAAATATTTTACCTATGTTTTACAACATCTTTGTCTTTTATTCCTTCCCTCTAGGTTTTATTCTCTCTTAAAACAGCCTCCAAGTTTTATTCTGATGCCCACAAACTCAGTATCCTTGAATTTTTAATGTCCCTTTCTAATCCTGCTCTTATCACTTTGCCCCTCCTCAGCCTGAGCAATCTCTTCTTCTATATCTCCTTTCTTGCTTTTAATTCTTCCTCATTCTTGGACTTAGTAGGGGATTAAGAAGGTAGACTCTAGGCAAGCCAGATGCAAAGGTAAACATATCTCAGTAAACTCATGCAAGTCTGAGTTTAAGACTTAACTGGTATTTACGGGAAGCTGAGAGGCTGCTGAACAATTCACAGTGAAACGCACCACTAGGAGTAAGGGCTAATGGTACACATTCTTTTGAGTTATACTAGTAAGGAGTCTGGTTCTTGGTTTAAATTGGGATGCAGTCTCTCAATTACTTAGTACTTTTTCCCAGTCAGACAAGAATTGTTATTTAAGTTGTAAAAGAAAGCTAACTTAATCATAGCTATCTCATGAGGCATACACTACACATGTAAGTGAAAAATCACTAATAAAGTTACCTGTATTCCATTTATATAAAATATCTAAACTAGACAAATCTATAGACACAAAGTAGATTAATGGTTGATAAGGGCTGAGAGACTGGTGAATGGGGGGTGACTGCTAATGAGTACAGGGTATCTTTTGGAGGTGATGAAAACGTTCTAAAATTAAATTGTGTTAGTGGTTGCATAAGTCTGAATATACTAAAGACTACCGAACTGTAAACTTTAAATGGATGAATGTTATGCTATGTGAATTATAAAGCAATTTTAAAAGATTACTATGATTGTATGGTTTTTTAATCAATATTTTACATAAAAAGGTTAAAAAACGTAACTATGGATTATATATAGCAGCATAAAAAATACTCATGCTGTAGTAAATTTTTTTCCAAAGGTTAAAAAAGTTATCTGAAAATTTCTCAGCCGACAAATATTTCACCTTATAGCCTTGAATATTTACTTCACTTTTTCGGTTAAATATTTACTTACCCTCCTTCAACAATAAACTTCACCCAAATGAATTCTAATGCAAATGAACTGTAACTGAGTTCAATGTGCCCCAAATTAAGATAATACAAAATTTCAAAAAGCAAACCAAAATCAACCAACTGAACCAACTAAAGTAAACTGGGTAAAGCTCTTCTATGCTAAAGACCAATTTTTTAACCCCAAAATTACTCAAAAAATAATTAGTCTTTGCTAAATCAGTTAAAATATAAAAGTACTCAAACCATACTCTGCACAGATACTAGCAGCAGTTTCAATCTCACAAAGTGCAAGTGAACACACCTTGTCACTTCTGATGTTCTTCATAGGTTTCCTGATTTTTTATTTAATGTATCAACATCTTCTAGTTGTGCTGTGATCTGAAGTACATAATCCGTAAACAGTCTTCTTAAATTTCTATAAAGGCATGTATTACACAAGTTTTTAAAAGTAAACTTTGTAAGTATATAGTTGCTAGAAAAATATCTAAGCTAAATTTAGTTGGAGGGCTCTAGTGACTATAAAAATTAGATACTGACCTATTTTCACTACAATTATAGTACAAGCAAAATACTAAAAAGACTTACACGGCATAGAACTATTTAGTTTTTAAAGTTTTTAAGAATGCTTTAGCATTTACAATCTCAATTTGCCTCATCTGTTAACTAATTCAGATTTATCAGTTTTGAACAACTTGTCTTACTAGTTACGGATAACCTGTCTTACTAGTTTTGGATAACTTGTCTTATTCAAGTTATCCAAAACTGAAGAGGATTCAATTCCTAGTTTGCTACTTTTAAATCCCTGCATAGTTGAGGATTTGGACTCAGTCTAACGGAGAAAACAATAACTGACTTCCTGACCCAATCTAACCTTTTTTCTCTCGCTTAAAACTAATAAACAAAACCCCTCACATAGAGCATTTACAAATGTTTGCTGGTAACCTTATATACTTAAGTTGAAAGAAAGGAAAAATATAACTTATTAAACATTTAAGATGGTAAAACATTCATTTATATACAAATACATGGGGATTCTAAATATTTTACATATATGAAATGTCCCTGCTGAAAAAAATGACCAAAAGCATTTGCCTCTAACAGACTTCTGTTGATATAATCTAACATTTTTCAAAATAGAGTCACTCACTGAGTTCATGAATTGTGACATGAGATGTTTTTTGTGTAGGAAGATAGATGCTGAGGAAAGAGAGAAAAAAACCTTTTCAAATGAAAGTCTATTTAATAGCTTAAAAAATGTGTAACCACCTACCTCCTATACTTGAATAGCCACACCCCAAATCACATGGCCCAAAATGAACTTCTCAACTCTCGCCACTTCTTAGTTTCACGTCTCAGGAAACAGATCTATCCTTAGTCATAAGCTCAAAGAATCCTCTATTTCCCTTATCACAGCACTTACCTGGTGAATTATCTCTCACTTTAGATTTTAAGATCCAGGAGGAAGAAAGAGATCATGTCTTTTTTGTTCATATTTAGCACATGACATTTGACGAATACATGAGACAAATGAATAACAGCCATTATACCCTGGCTTCTCCCTTGTCAACACTGATTATCATCTATGTAGGAAAAGGTATTTTCAGAGAAGCTGGCCTAACAAACTGTATCCTACCATTTTCCATCTATAGAATACATGGTTGTCTTTTATCCCTACAAAAATATCATAATGGATTTCTAAAAAGAAAATATTGGACCCTAAAAGAAATCTGTGGCTTAATCAAAACTTGATTTTCACACTACTGTTCATCAATGACTTTAAAAAGTATATCGACATCATTAGAGACACACTCCCATTATTGAAAAATGCCACATAACGAAGGGAACAAAAAGAGAAAAAACGTAGTTATGACATATTTTCTTTCCCTGAGCTATTTATTTATTCATCTGCTCATTCATTCAACATTCATGGATGGATGTTTTCTAAACTTTTCTCTATGCAAGAAGCCAAGTATAAAGTAATTCAGACACAAACAAATTTCTGGGAGCTGGGAAATCCATTTTCAATGTATTCTAGCCAAAAATATCTCTAACTTAATCTTGGAGTTTTACCACATAAAACAAGTAATACTATTTACACTTACAGAGCTACTTATTTTACTGACTGTAGCAAACCAAAAAAGATCACACTAGAGGGCTGACTAGCTGAAACACCTGCTTACTGTATCAAGAAGCATTTATGCAGAAAGAGAAAATGAAGATGGCAGATACAGACTAACAGGGTAAGCTGTGGGTTGACCACAAAACAAAAGCTGCCACTTCTAAGATTGGCCCTTTGGCATCCAAAAGGGCCGTACAGGCTCTCAGAAAGGATAATACCCTACTGCTTTACAAAAAATGAAAATTTTATTTACTATCTACTTAACATTCTGAGGCATGATGGTATACTGCAAAGACGTTTTTCTAAAGCCTGGTAAGTTACGAGATTGTGTTTGGAAAACAAAAACAAAAAAATATATAACCATACCTTATCTTTTATCATTCACATTTTCATTTCTGAATTTTGGTAATAAAGGTAAGCACACTTCATCTTTATACACACAGTACCAAATTTGATGTGATCCTACCAGTCACGCTAAAGAAAAAGGTAGTACTAAGAATCCAAGACATTCAAAGTTGGCAATGAATTATATTCTTATTCTTTGAAACGGTACAATATACAATTATTAAATAACATATTCTTTAAAATAATTAAGCCACCTAAAGTATAATTAAAAAAAGAATGTTTACTTACATCCCTGCCTGAGGTGGTCATATCATAGATGAATACAAAACACCAGCCTAAATTTAAAGTGAATTATACATGACCCATGCTTTCTCATAGTCTGTTATATTTCCAGCTCACATTCAATTTTCTGTCATGTGTTCATCAGAAAATGAACAGGGAGACTACAAAAATTTAACAGTCATATATTGATTATCTCTTTAAAATGAATGAAACAAGACCTGTTTTTAAGGAATTTATTTTCAATAAACACTGAAGTTTCCATTTATAGTATAATCTCTATTGTAAACTTAGGTAGCTTGTGTTTAAGACTATCTTCTTAGACTCACTATTTCATTTGAATAAAGGATCAGTGAAATAATTTATATCAGTGGGTTGCAAAGTAGTAAACATGAATAAATTTTAAGTCGTAAGAAAAAAGTGTGTATGGCTTGTAGAACTAATTGTATTACGGCCATATCATATACTTTTTTAATATTAAAAAATGTAATAGCTCTTCTTGGGGAAAATTTTTAAAGGGAGCTAACATATGATAACATACTTTTCAAACTTAGTGTACATTGCCACCTCAAATCCCAACTCAATCACAAGATTCACTCTCTGGGTACAATGGAACAATAGTCATATCCTTCATGTACAAAGATTTTCTGACCCATCCCAATGGCCAAGAGACTTACTTTCAGCAGTAGCAATGAAACTGCATGGATCAACCAATTACTTTTGAAAAGTCCAAGGACATGTATTAAGGCTTCTGTTACTAGCCCTGAAACTCTTGGCAAATAACTGCTCTGTTTCAATTTCCTCATCTGCTAAGATATAGGTAGTAACAGCATCTAGCTCATAGGGCTGCTGTGAAGATTTAATGAGATAATAATTGAAAATTTATTATAATAGTCCCTGGCACATAAGTGCTCAATAATGATAGTTATCATTGTTAGTTGCTAATGTCAAGGTTAGGAAAACATAAGAGACACACAAAGAATTAAGAGGTCTCATTAGCATTGTTCTCCAACAAATGGATCTAAGCAGGCACTGACTGATTATATGAAATTATCCATTTAAAAAGCCAATAAATTTTACTATGTATTTTCTTTTTTTTTTTTTTCTTTTTTTGAGATGGTGTCTTGCTCTGTTGCCAGGCTAGAATGCAGTGATGCGATCTCGGCTCACTGCAACCTGTGCCTCCCGGGTTCAAGCAATTCCCCTGCCTCAGCCTCCTGGGTAGCTAGGACTACAGGCGCATGGCCACCATGCCCACGCCACCATGCCAGGATGGTCTCGATTTCCTGACCTTGTGATTCACCTGCCTTGGCCTCGCAAAGTGCTGGGATTACAGGCGTGAGCCACCACACCCGGCTTGTATTTTCCAAACACTGAAAATAGTCTAGCATTTTGATAAGCTTGAAAGTCTAGTTTAGAGGTTTATTTGAACACAGAGTATGCATATTATTAGATACTTGTTGGATTCAAATTAGGTCAGCTGATAGTTATCTCTCTTTAACACATCATCTAATTCCTGTGATTCCAAAATTCCTCTCTGGTTAAAAGGACACAAAGTTCACGATAATATTTGCAAATATAAAATACTCTGAAAAGAGATATGTGATTATAAATGTCCTGTTAATCCTCAAAGCCAAAATGGAGGAAGTTAAAATGATGCCTGCAGGTCCAGAATCAGTCACCCTAGTCTTCTACATCAATATAAGAACACTGCCACACTTCAGATTTGTATTATCTTCCCACTTAAATATCCAGGTTCGGAAAAAATAACACACAGGAAGCGAGTCAGAAACGTCTGCTACAATAAAGCTTGTGACTACTCCTACTACCTCCTCCTACAACAATCACTTCCACTCCAGGTAGATTTTGCTTAATATTTACCAAATATCTGAATGTCTACTATCCATAAAGCACTGTGATAGCCGCTAGCCTTTGGGTAAAGTAAAAATTTATTTTTCCCTTTAGAATTAACTAAATGCAGTTATAATTTAAACACAAAATACCTAAAGTTAAAACATATGACAGAAATAATACACAGACATTGCTTTAAGTACAGAGAAAGGAGAGATTAAACACTCTGGGGGTCAGAGACGACTTTGTGGAAGAAGAAATATTAGAAATGAGCTTTGCTTAAAGAGAAAACCAAAGCTGGAGAAAGAAAGAAAAGAATTCCAGACTGCACATTAGCAAGAACAAAGATCCATGGAGAGAAAAGAGTGTGTTCCAGAGATAGCAAGTGTATTAGTTTGGTTAAAACAGATTAGTCTTGAGGTCCAATCATGGAAAGTGTCAAAAGCCAAACCAAAAATTCTGAACTTTATTCCAGAGGTAAAAGGGAGTCACTGAAGTATACTGGGAGAAACAATATAATGAAAAACCATATTTTAGAAAGAATGTTGATGGTTAATAGAATGGGGGAGGAGATGCAGCACAAGATGGTAGCAGGAAAGAGACCAGTTGTAATGCTAATATCTTGGTTTGGGTCTGCAGTAGTAAGACCTGCATTATTCCAAGACAATTTTTCAAACTTAACCTAGGACTCACATATAAAGCCTTAATGCCTTTTATAAAGACTCCATTTTAAAAAAATGGTAATAACTGAGTTAATCAGAATGATTTAGTTTCCTTACTCTCTTGCATCCTTTCCTGTAGCAATGATATCTTCCTGCTCATTTCTCACCATAAACTGTAACTCCCCTTCAAGATACCAACCCTTGTCCTTCCTTACTGATCATTCTAGCCTGAACATTCACCTTTGCTTTATTACTGTTACTCTTTATCCGCAATTTAACCATCTATTCCCACCTAATCATTAACTCCAAACCCTTGATGTCTTGCCAGCTTTGCAGAGCCAAATAAAGCTACTCATACTCAACTTTCTCTTTCTTCTATTACCTCTTAACTTTTAGTCTATTCAAATGCAAGTGCTCTAAATTCCCAGAGTTTACAATGTCTTCTAAATTTTCTACTCAATCTCTAGTTTGGCTTCCAGGCTCACTGCAAAAGCTATACTGAAAGACAACCCTCTCATACTAAGCAAGTCTCTATACTCCTAAGTATCTCAAGATTTCATATACTCAATAATAACAGCTACCATTTATTTGGCACTTTCTTCATGGTAGAAAATATCTCAAGTGATTTATATAATTATTTTTTAAATCTTCAAGATAACCTTACAACAAAAGTATTTCCGTTTGACATAAAAAACAAACAAACAAAAAAAAACAGGTTTAAAGAAATCAAGTAGCTTACCCAGGAATACCTGGCTAGGAAGTAGGAGAACAGGGACTCAAACTCTGTCCTAACTTTCAAAGGTTAGTTTTAACACCATGTCCACCATGGGGCCCTTCAATGTGGCTCTACTGATTACATCTGTTCAGAAACATTTCCCTAGATCCTTCATTAAGGATATCAACCACTGGAGAATTAACATGGATTCCATTCCCTAATCTAAACAATGGTAGTTGAAGACATAAAATGTTTAGCTTCGTTAACTTCTGAAAAACTTTGGGAATGAGAAAATGAACTTAATTTCTTAAATCTCTTCTGAATGTTTTAGAAGAAAACATTAAAGTCTTGCACTGGAAGACTTTACATAAACTTACATGGACTTGCTTAACTCTAGGAATCTATGAATCGTGTTAATGTTTAGCTTTTGAAATTTTGGTTCCTGGTAACAAGGAGGTTCATCTAATTGTGAAAAATCCACTCAGTAATATCTTGAAAAATACTTTTATATCTACCCAGATCTGATCCTGGCATGTTATTTAGGTTCTCTGACCCTGTATTTCCTTATTTATAAAATGAAGATAACATCATATATTTTAGAGGGTTATGGAAAAAAAATTAAAGCCTAACACAAATAAATGACCAAGAAAGTATGGCTTTCATTACTTTCTTCTGTATCTAAAAGTAGTTTAGTCTCAAAAGATTTTAATTCTAAATCTTACCAGCCACAAAAACTAATCGTGTTTAATCCAGATCTTAAATACGGATACTACATACACTTGGTCAATGGATTCTAAATGAACATATTAAGAATTATAAAAACCAAAGATCCCTCCTTTATCACACATTTACTCAAGGAAAGCTTAAAACATCTATAATATTATAAAAACAGTATCAGAGTCTAGTTTATTGATACACATTAAAAGCCTGTACCTTTCCTCAGTTTCTTACAAAAATTATAAAGTCTATTACATTTCAGATAAAGGTATATAGAAACTTGCCTTTCTCAATTGTTTACTTTCTGTAGCTCTGACCTGCCACAGCAAAAGAAAAGCCAGGTTACGAGATTATCTAGGTAGTACATGGATAGCTAGGACATTCAAAGGTCAAAATCATCAAAGAATATATTCTGGAGACTCAGAATGAAGTATAAAATTGTTATGTAATATGGAGAACATAAGACATTAGAAAGAGTGAAGAGTAAAGAATATAATCTTTAGATTTTGATATAGGTTAACCCAAGTTTATTTCATATATGAATGGCTAATAATCTCAGGTCAGTTAATTTATGTATCTTGGCTAATAGCAAAATAATAAACACAACTTAATTTTAAAATTTGTTATTTGAGATGGAAGACAGGACACACTGTGACATAAAATTACTACCCAACATAGAAGACGACACAACTTTTATCCAGTTGCCTCACCATACCTTCTCCCCTTCTCCAAGGTTTATATATTTCACAGGGCCATGCCTTGTTTTATCTTCTTGCTTAACTCTTACAAAACCCTGCCAGGGTCAATCTTCTTACATGGCCATCTCTTTCTCCTGATTTGATTAAGGATGGAAAGTATTCAAGAGTATACTGACTCAGAGTCAGGTGTCCAGGCAAGAGTTAGATAATCATTTGAGGGGATCATCAAAATATCACCTTGCTACATTACTTCTACATGACCACAGATTTACATCTTAAAAAATTAATCCAGTTCTCACGGGCATTTCAGAGGTAACAAGTTCCTTGTGGATATATGCCACTCTTTGATTAAAAATTACAAATAAGCACACACACAGTTAAAGCAAAATCAGCTGTACATTCTACTAGCTATTAGAGTAAACAAATGGCCTAGGTATAATCTGAACAAACTCAAAGACTATAGGTATTTAGTAACTGCTTAGCAATATTTACCACATGACAAAATGATGTTGCCATAGATTTCTTTCAAAAACAAATGAGGTATTACAGAATTTTCAAAGGTTTAACAAGACCCAGCTTGAAGTGACAGAAAAAACCTTCATAATGTATTTTTATAATGTCCTTCACATCAGACTACCAAGGGTCCTGTGCTTGTTCAAACCTGTAGTCTCAACCACCCTTTGTCTCCCATGAAATCTCCATCCTCCTCCCTCTCAAGAGTTTCTCTACACATCCCAATCCCAAAAGAAAAATCAAGAATAGCTTACAAGAATAGCTTTTCTAAAGAACCATCACCAACTTAGAATTTGTTAAATAAAACAGAACCGAGAAAGAAATCCAGCCTTAGAACACCGAAACATCTAACTGCCTCACACATAACAGGTATTTATTTGGCAAAGGTATGTTGACTAGTCACACAATATTGATAAGAAAATTTAAAAATGTAATAACTGGACAGTACATGTGATAATCTAATCTGCCCAACTGGCTTTACTGATTTGGAAGCTGAAACTCAAAAGGTTAAAGGACTTGTCCATGGACACAGATATTTTGGAGCATAGCCATGACTAAACAATCCTTGTCTCCTACTGCACTGTTCCCTTCAACAGGTCATATACCTCAGTCCATCATGTAAAAATATACAATATGTATACAAAATACATAAAAAGATACAAACAAAAAGGAATTTGATGACTATTATTTCTCAAATATAATGGAGGTAGTTAACTTCAAACATTATCAGTCTTAATATACCTTTCCAATAATGTAATTACTTCACTGATCTAAAAATGTTTTATGATATCAAATTAAAATGTCTTAAGCAACTGCCATGTGGTGCAGGAAGTTCATTATAGTTTCAATAATGTGGTACTGCTGTAAACTTCCAGGTTAAAAGTAATCATCCTTAAATGACTGAAAGTTTAATCAGATACATGTAAGTTACACATAACAAGAACAAAACTGTAACACTTGGAAATGTTACTTTGTGCT